TGCTCATTGTGCTCATATAAATCTTACTACGAATCGTATATGGTGTTATGCTTGTAAAAAAGAAGTTCTTTCAAGATACATACCATCACCACCATTGTCACCTAATCAAATAGATATCAAAACAATGGGAAGTAAATTTTCTGGAGATGCACCTAATAATATTGATAATAAAATGGATGGTTTGGATAGGCTTATGCTGGACAAGTAAGTAAAATTAATAGATATTAATATATGCATTATTATTATTTTTTTTTTTTAATATATCAATGTTACAATTTTAATCAATTATAGATTCTATGGGGAATGGTTTGTAAATAAAGTAAATAATGATAGAGGATTATTTAATGAGAAATCTGGCGACTCTCCAGATAGCACAGATTCAGACGAAAGTAAAGATTTTTCTGGTAAACCAAGAGGCTTAGTTGGTCTTCAAAATATAGGTAATACTTGTTACATGAATGCAGCACTTCAAGCATTATCCAATGTGCCACCTTTGACACAGTTTTTTTTGGACTGTGGTCATTTGGTACATTATATGTCCAAAGATAAGAAGCCTGCATTGAGTTTATGTTATTTAAATCTTATCCGAGATATGTGGAATAGGAAAACGCGCGGATACGTTGTGCCACATGGCATTTTATCTGGTATTAGAACTGTTCATCCTATGTTTAGAGGATATCATCAGCATGATACACAAGAATTTTTAAGATGTTTTATGGACCAATTGCATGAAGAATTAAAGGAACACATAGAAGATGACAAAGATATGTTGCTAAGATTGAAAGGCCTCGGTGAACATTCATCCGACGATGATGAAACTGAAGTAGATGGAAATGGTTCAAGTCAGTCAGATGGTGAATATGAAACATGTGATTCAGGAGTAAGCGAGCAGAGTTCTTTAAGTGATGAAGGAGAACGTGGTACAAAGAGACGTTATTCTCGTGTTTCTCAATCAGAAAAATTAAGAAATAAGTTTACTAATAGAAGTATTAAAAAATCTACCGTTGAGCAATCTTTTCCTCAGCAACAAAGATCTGCACCAAATTCACCTGCCAAACATCGTACCAAAAAACAAATGAAAACAAGAAGTATCATAAGTGATATTTTTGATGGTAAGCTTTTAAGCAGTGTACAGTGTCTAACATGTGACAGGATTTCTACAAGAGTAGAAACATTTCAAGATTTATCATTACCTATTCCAAGTAGAGATCATATTGACATGTTACATCAGGGATCTCTTACACCTCAAAAAGCAGGGCCATGTTCTGATGTTGTTTATGTAACAAATCAGAATGGTTGGCTTTCATGGTTTTTGCAATGGATGCGTTCTTGGTTTTGGGGTCCAGTTGTTAGCCTTCATGACTGTCTCTCTGCATTTTTCAGTGCTGACGAGCTAAAAGGGGATAATATGTATAGTTGTGAGAAGTGCAACAAACTTCGTAATGGAATTAAATTTTCTAAAGTACTAGAGCTCCCAGAAATACTTTGTGTTCATTTAAAAAGATTTCGTCATGAACTAATGTTTAGTTCTAAAATAGCAAATTATGTCTCTTTTCCATTAGAAGGATTAGATATGAGGCCATACTTGCATAAGGAATGCGTGTCTAAAGTTACTACATATGACTTGATATCTGTTATTTGTCATCATGGTACAGCTGGTGGTGGTCATTATACATGTTATGCATTGAATTCTATTGTTAATAAATGGTTTGAATTTGATGATCAATGTGTTACGGAGGTTCCACCAGAAACTGTTAAACATTGCGAAGCTTATGTGCTATTTTATAAAAAGTGGTCTCCAGAAATGATGCAACTACGTGATAGAACAATGGAATTAATGGAAATTTCATCTCGTGAACCATCCGAGCTAAATTTCTTTGTATCACGACAATGGATAAATCGTTTTAATACATTTTCTGAACCAGGGCCTATAGATAATTCTGATTTCCTTTGCCCTCATGGTGGTGAAAATCCAATGACAGCTCAAATAAGTGATAAACTTTGTATGCCAATACCACAAGCTGTTTGGGAATATCTTTATAATACGTAAGTGTTTTAACAGAGTTAAAAAAAAAAAAAATATTAACATAATTTGTTTTATTTATTATATATAAATTTCTATACAGTCTTCTTAATTAAAATTACCTGATTCTTTTAGATTTGGTGGTGGACCAGCATGTACACAACTTTATGAATGTCCAAGTTGTGAAGAAAAGTATGAATCTTTGCAAAAAAGAAGACAGTATGAGATGGAAATATTTCAACGATTAAATCATAATACAGAAAATCATAGTGCTATTTATGGTTTGGCAATGGCCTGGTTGCGACAATGGCAAGGCTTTGTTAGAGGTAAAGAAACTCAACCACCTGGACCAATTGATAACAATTCAATTGTCGTAAATAAAAATGGACAAAACATACTTAAAGTTGGTAAGTTCTCTGATGTTATGATTAAAATAGAAATATACATTCAATTTATTTTTCATTATTATAAAATATGTATTTTGTAGGATCAGATTGTGGACAAATACCAGAAGAACTATGGCACTTTTTCTTAAATACATATGGTGGAGGTCCAGAATTAATGTTACATTCATGCCAACGACCAATACCTCCACAACCTAATACTTCATTACATTCCACTTCAAGTCCAAATCTCACAGATCAGAGTCTTAAATCTGGTCGTACAGAAATGAAATCTAATAAAGTTTGTGTAGCTAGAAGTTCAGAAACACTTTCACAACAAGATAGTGCTATTGAAAGTATAACGTCTGATAGTGATTCTCACCAAACACAAAGAGATGTTAATGAGTAAATAAGATATCGTATTTAATAAACATTTTACAGTACACTTAACTACAAATAATTTCCATTGAGCATTCAAAGTACAGCAGATAAATGTGTAATGAAATGATTAAATTTTGCCTTCGTCTTAGATGTCACTGTGTTATAAATACATTATTAGACACTTTAAAAGGAGTATTTAATATAAATAAGGATTTAAGTGCACATTATTGCTTGTATAATACAATGATGATGCAAAATGTTATTTAAAACAATTATTGACGATTTACAATCCATATAGTCTTATTAACGTTTATCTGTACATTTAATTTCTTGCTAGTATGTATATATATATATATATACACATACACATATATATATAATTGATCGTAGATTCTTGAATATTTTATGCTTAATGGGTAATATTGCTAGTACAAGGTTTGGTTTCTAAGATATTGTATTATTTTTTTTTAAGCGTATTTTTTAAGCATATTTTTTTTTTTCAAATTGGTGGCTATAATCAGTCTCTTAAGAGTCTTGTATTTCAAATTATTTATACATTTATTACATTTGTGTGTCATTCCTGCATGTACAAAATAATGTTATAAAATTCTCAAAAATTATGTAAATACACACATGTCATGGTATGTTATTATGCATTTTCTTAGAAAAGGTAAAAGACTGACAATGAAATCAGCTATAGTTACGTTTTCGTTGAATATGATGTGTCAAATGATATTATTATATAAATATTTAATTGAACGATTTAACATCATAATGTGAAAAAAAAAAAGAAAAAAAACAGAAAAGAAATTCATAATAGAAAACCGAAATTTCCAACTTTTAATTTTTATTAAATAATTGATGTACACATTTGCATAATACACATAAAAGAATGTTTTACGTTAATCGCACAAGTGTTACCAAAAAATAGTGATGCTAATACGTAATATTAGTTTTTGTACAATAATATAGATGTTTTATCACTTTATCTTTATAATTACACGGCTTTCTTTTTGGTAGTTGAAATAATTAAAAAAAAAAATCCACCATTGAAAATTAATTAAGATAATAAACGTAAGGATAATAACTACCAAAAAGTCACTGTGAAAAATTTAAGATAAGTAATAAAAACAAATTTTTTTTCTCTTCTTCTTCTTTTTTATTTATTATAAATATAAATATATATAAATAAATAAATATATATATATATATATATTTTTAATATATCATCTTTAAAAATTCATAAACAGCTTACAATTTGAAAAAAAATTCGTGATTATCTAGTAGAAAAAACTTTCTTACCATTTAAGAGTAGAAATCTATGGGGTAGAAAAAATAATAGCTTCGTAAGAACAATCATATTATTTCGTATTTTTGTGAATATCATAAATAAACATTATCTTAATTGTACACACACACACACACGCATGCATATATATATATATATATATATATATATATATATATATATATATATATGTATATATATACATGTATATATATGTGTATATATATATATATCTACATATATATATATATATTTGTGTGTGTATGTTCGATGTGATTATACAACACCTTTAGTGTTTGTACGCAATAATATATTATATACCTGCATATATATAAAAAATGTCATTTATTATTAGACAAGAAAAAAAAAAGAAAAAGAAAAAGAAAATATTTTCAATAACAATCGATTGCTTGATGTGCAATAAAAAATTAAAAAAATAAAACACGCCTCTCAAACAAATTGCATATGTAGATGAAAAGTAAAAAAAAAAAAGAAAAAGAAAAAAAACATCTTAATTGTCGTCATCGGTACTCTTGCTATTATTGTTATAAAAAAAAAAAAATATTTTTACTATTTCATCAAACTTTAAAATAGACATACATATATACACATACACACATACACATACAAGAAAGAGACGATTTCAAAAAAAAAATTCGAATCTTATAAATATTAAGCCGTACAAAATTTTGACTTCTGATATATTTCACGTGGTTGATGCATGAATTATTTTTTTAAGAAATGTTGGAATAAATCATTTATCCTAAATAATCGAAGTTTCATCTTATGATCCAAATTAATTCATTCCATTTCCAAATTTATTATTCTATTATCTGATTCGAAAAATTCATTCAATTTTTACATAAAAATTTCGATGAAAAGATTTGAAGATTTTCGAAACTTTTTGATGAATAAAATTAAATAAAAAAAAAAAGGAAGAAATTGAATTGATTTCAATCTTTACCAACAAATTCTGATGAAATTCTTCGATGAAAAAAAATTTTAATAAAGAGAAAAAATTTAATTAACTTCAAATTTTTTTTCTTCAAAAAATTGTCACGACGAAAAGATTCGAAATTTTTCGAACGAACGAAATTGAATAAAAAAGATATTGAATTAAGTTTCAATTTTTATCAAAGAAAAAGTTGACGAAAAAATACGAAACTTTTCCATGAACAGAGCTAAACGAAGAACATTGAATTAATATCAATCTTTTTCCAAAAGTCTTGAAGAAAAGATTCGAAATTTTACGAAATGAATAAAATGAAATAAAGGAAAAAAAAAATTCTGAATTAATTTCCATATTTTTATATTAAAAAATACTGTTGACGAGAAGATTCGAAAAAATTCGGGACTTGTCGATGAACCAAATGAAATAATAAATGTAAATAAATGAAAAAAATGGGTTGTCTAAAAAATGAAGAGAAAAAAAAATCGTAGAGATGAACTTGAAACGAGATGTAATATCTCATCATATCATGGACCGCGAGTGGATGATCGATCGAGCCCTGCGCGTTCGAGGGATGCTGGCCATATTCCCCGATCTTCCAATCCCAGTAGCGAACAACCCTCCCTTGGTCAATGCGACGATTAAGGGTTTTGTGATTAGGAACTCGACGATCACCCATAGACCGCCATGCTCTCGTTGTGTTCCTCTTAGTTTAGTCAAATCATTTTCAAATTCATTTTCTTCTTATTCCATTCATGGATCTTTATTCTCGAATTAAGGATCAATTTTTAGATTAGTTTCCTTGGCAATCGTTTTTTCCTTATATAACGAGAAGAGGACCGACCGACTGATCGTGTCTTCTTCAAGAAGAAGAAGAAGAAGAAGAAGAAGAAGAAGAAGAAGAAGAAGGTTCAACCTTTTCATTTGATTTCATCGGAGAAAGAAGAAATAATTCGATTTTTTGTAAGTGATTAAATATAATTTTTAACATTTTTATATAATACATAGAAAAAAAAAAAATTAAATCTTATATTTATTAATGACATAATAAGAGGATTTGATTTAAAACTCGTAAAAAAAATTGATAATTCACATTTAGAATTTTTATTCATATTATTAATGTATTAGGTCAACATTAATATACGTGAATTTTTTCATGATAATTTTTAAAAATGATTTTTAAATTAATTATGAAAGTATATATATATATATGTATACATATATATATATATATATATATATATATATATATATATATGTTTTATTCTTTTTTTTTTATATTTCTTATCTAGTATATCAATATACTATATGATACTCTAATCGATAACTCATCGAATTCGAATCGTCCTAGATTCGAAAAAATATCTTTCAAGATGACTAGTTTTCGAGGATTTTATATACCGTCCTTTGGGGCGACAGTTAACGTTGCTTGGGAGACATTAAAAGCTAAATGGCCAGAAAATAGTCCATGTATGGAATTAATTCGTGGTACCGGTATGACTGGTCAAGGTGATCCTCAAGCTCGTACCGGTGATTTTAAATCGTTTGGAGAAGGCGAGGATAATACTGAGATGACGACAATGAATGGTGAACAAGCATATAGGGAACAGAATAATGTTGCTATTGCTGAGGATTCATTTAGTTATCAAAGAAATGGGTAAGTTTTTATCATCAATTTTGTAATTCTAATCAAAGGAACTAATTGCGTTTTACTTATCTAATTCTATTCCTTATTATGAATTTTTATGAGTTATTAATTCATATTATCATGATTATATATATATATATATATATATATATATATATATATATATATATCTATATGTGTGTGTATCTTTTTTTCTTTTTTTATTTTTTTATTTTTTTTTCCACAGAGATAAAGCTAGAACAGGAAGTTTGAGCAGTGGAGAATTCAGCGAATATGACGAGGGTGGCGGTGAATTTGGTGGATCTGGTGTGAAGATTAATGAATGGCAAGCAGCGTGGAATGTTACCAATGCTATTCAGGTAATCATAGTTTGATTGATTAAAAAAAAAAAAAAAGTAAAGAAAAGAAGAAAAAAGAAAAAAGAAAAACAATTAGATGAGACTGTCGAATTCGAATAAGCGAGATTAAAAATTATTTTTAAAAATTATCAGGAAAAAAAAGGAGAGAGAATTTAAATGAACAAGATAAAAAATTTGAATTAAAAAAAAAAGAAAAAAAGAAAGAAAAAAAAATTTTGTTCATTAAGAAAAAAAAAGATCAGCAAATTCAAATAAGAAAGATAAAATATATACTTTTTTTTTTTTCATCTTTCATTAATTCAAACAAATAAAAAAGAAAAGAGATCTGAGAGATATAATCTGAGAGACAATATTGTTTTTGGTTTAATTAAAAAAAGAAACAAAAAAAAACCGAATTCAAATGAGTCAAATAATTTTTTTCTTTTTAAGTTCCATCGATTACAATAATAATAATAACAAAAAAAAAATAATAATAATAAAAGAATTGAAATGAATAGAAAATAATATTTTTGTTTTTAGGGAATGTTCATCGTATCTCTACCATTTGCAGTCCTACGAGGAGGTTATTGGGCAATCGCAGCAATGGTCGGTATAGCACATATTTGCTGTTACACTGGTAAGATTCTCGTCGAGTGTCTATATGAGTTCGACACAGTAACAGGTCAACGTGTTAGGGTACGAGATTCTTACGTAGCCATTGCTAAAGAATGTTTCGGTCCAAGATGGGGTGCAAGGGCAGTCAACATTGCACAAATAATAGAATTGTTGATGACCTGCATCTTATACGTTGTTGTATGTGGTGATTTAATGATCGGTTCTTTTCCCGAAGGTGCTATCGACACGAGAAGTTGGATGATGCTAATAGGGATATTTTTACTTCCTCTTGGCTTTCTCAAATCTTTGCAACATGTATCGATGCTCAGCTTTTGGTGTACGATGTCTCATCTTTTCATAAATTTCATTATCGTCGGTTATTGCATTTTGGAGATAGGCGATTGGGGATGGTCTAAAGTTAAATGGACTATCGATATGAAAAACTTTCCAATCTCGCTTGGTGTAATCGTATTCAGTTACACCTCACAAATCTTTCTACCAACGTTAGAAGGAAATCTGATAGATCGTTCCAAGTTTAATTGGATGTTAAACTGGAGTCATATAGCTGCTGCTGCCTTTAAATCTCTTTTTGGATGGATTTGCTTTTTGACTTTCCAGAATGATACACAACAGGTGATCACAAACAATCTTCATTCACCTGGCTTTAAAGGTTTAGTCAATTTTTGTCTGGTAGTTAAAGCTGTATTGTCTTATCCTTTGCCATATTATGCTGCCTGTGAATTACTTGAAAGAGCATTTTTCAGAGGTCGACCTAAAACAATCTTTCCTACGATTTGGACGGTCGATCGAGAACTTAAAGTTTGGGGTCTGGCATGGAGAGTCGGTGTTATTGTCTTCACCATTCTCATGGCTATATTCATACCACATTTCAGTATTCTCATGGGCTTCATTGGCTCCTTCACTGGCACTATGTTGTCGTTCATATGGCCTTGCTACTTTCATCTTAAACTTAAAAGAAATTCTATGGAATGGAGTGCTGTAGCGTATGATTGTTTTGTCATCTTTTTAGGTATACTATTTGGGGTAATTGGTGTTTATGATTCTGGCACCGCTTTGATTGATGCCTTTGAAATTGGTTTACCCTTTTAAATGATTCATATAATTCTTATTGCTTTCATTTTCTCATTCATCTCATTCTGAGCTTGAGAAATATTGAATCGCAAATTTTCATTTATCCTAATGGGACAACAAAATGTATAGTGTCTCTTTGAAATCGAAAGATAGAAAAATTTTTAAGGATAAACAAATGCTCATCGTAACATCCAATAATTTTCTCAATCACCTGATTTCATCCTTACTCTTCCAACGATCTTCAAAATGATTATAGTTCATCGAAATTTAACAAATCAAGTGTCTTCCATTTAAGATCGCTTAGAGTTCTGTCATAATTAGAGATATTTTGATGATATATTGTATATTTAAATTCAACCAGAACTGACATATCTAACAATATGCAAAATACAAATACAAAAAAAAAAGAGAGAATGAAAAAACATTTTACAGTTTCAGAAATCTGAACTGTTCATTGACCATTGAATTAAAAAAAATAAAATAAAAAAGAAAGAAAAAAAAAAGAAAAAAAAAGAAAAAAAAGAAAGAAAAAAAAAGAGATCTATAAATGAGCGAAGGAAATGTTATAAATCAAGAGTCTTCCAAAATAAAAATTTCTTTTTCGAATGACGATAAGAAAAGCTTTTTAGAAAATTCATTTAGATTACATATCGTAAGACTATAAGCATCGATGTTTTCCATATTATATATAAAATCTGTCGATGTTAAAAACTGTTGAAAAATGAGTTTATGGATTTTCTAATCCTGATTGCGTACCTTATAAATAATTTTTAAGTACGCTTTGAACAATAAGCACGTCATGATGACGCTCGATGGTTGCAATTATAGTACGTAGTATAATCTCTTGCAAAAGAAAAAAAAGAAATTTAAAAGAGTTATCCCTCATGTTTGTGCCATAGATATAAATGATAGTTCGCCTAAACGTAGGTTGCATTGAAAGTGCCATCGAAGGTTCAATAATAAAATAATAAAATAAACGTGCATTCGTCGAGTGCAAATTAATAATGCACTTGGTTATGTATGTATATGTATGTATGTACAAGAAAATTGTACAAAACGATTAGTCGAATAATCGAACGTCTTCCAAAGTTTGTAAAGTCCTTTTAGAAGATATATCTTAGTTTCTAAGTATATGCATTACGTGGGTTACGTCGATAATTAAAACGCTTGAAGAATGTTCTCTCATTGAATAAATTTCAACAATTTTATTTAGATGGATATTAAAAATTATGTGACTTAAGTATATAATTTACAAAGTCTACGATTATTTATCTTTCCTTTTT